AACCACTCTCCTGCCATCAGGAACTCCTGAAGGTCTCATGCTCAGAGCAGCTGTAGGCACTCAGATCACGGGATTACAAGAAATTCAGGATCTGGGGTCTCACTGCTCCCAACAAGGATGTAAAATAAGTAATTTAAAAAAAAAGGAGCCACATTCAAATTCAACAGAAAAAAAAAAAATACAAACTTTCAGCTCCAGTACCGTGCCTGTCTGCTTCCTGCCATGAAACTGTAAGCAATCCTCCAATGAAATGCTTTCTTGTAAGTGTTTCTGTGGTCATGCTGTATCATCACAGGGATTTAATAGTAAGATATCCTCATTCTTGCTGGGCTTCATCTTTCCGGCTTGTATGTAGAAAGTGCCATGAGTAGAAAACTCACAGTCTGGGCTATTTGCCACTCATTTATTTTAGATAGTGTAGTTTTTAGTTTAATAATTTTTTTTTGTTGAAAATTATCTCAAAAATGTTCTTTCTTGCACCTTTTCCTGATTTTTTTTTAAAACAGTGGATGGTGGGATGTTTATTCAGTCAGTGACTTTGTTATCTCTGGAAGCAGGAAGTTGTCATTATGGATTTGAAATGTTCAGAAAATACTCATCTATGGTACAGACCCAGTAGGTATGTGCACGCAGTGTTTGTTAAGCAGATGGTTGTGGAGTAATAATTTGCTATGTAATTAACAGCCGTGTTGCAATCTTGAATATATTTTTTCAAATGCTTTATTTCTATAGGTTTGTATGTTTAGTTTTGAGTATTTAAATTGCTTGTCAATACCTCACAGACAGGATTGTATAGGAGCTAAGTAGTGGTGACTGTCTTAGTTAGGGTTTCTATTGCTGTGAAGAAACACCACGGCCACGGCAACTCTTATAAAGGAAAACATTTAATTGGGGTGACTTATAGTTCAGAGGTTCAGCCCATTATCATCATGGTGGGGCATGGCAGTGAGCAGGTAGACATGGTGCTGGAGAAATAGCTGAGAGTCCTATATCGGGCAGGCAACAGGAAGTGGTCTGAATGCCACACTAAGCATGGCTTGAGCATATATAAGACCTCAAAGCCCACTCCACAGTGACACATTTCCTCCAGCAAGGCCGGACCTTTTAATAGTACCACTCCTCCAGGGGTCCATTGTCTTTTAAACCATCACAATAAAGTTTCCCCAAAATACGCTAAGGGCTCCTAAGATGAAGAATGTATAGGGCCTAGGGAGTTAGGGAGCATCTTCCTGTTTTCTAACATCGTTGGCAAGTTCGTCATTCACACACTTATTTTCTTCCGTGGTCTTCAATGCTGGCCAAACTACAGAAGCCATCTGGAAAGAAGAAAGGAAATTTCTCCACCCAGAGCTCCATGTGGACTTTAATATGACCAGCAGACACCATTAACAAATACCATCCATCTAACTTTGTACAACATTGAAGTTCTATATTTTTAAGTTTAAATTCTTACACTTGATGTTCAAGAGGGAAGGGGGTTTGGATTATTATTAACAACCTGATGCACAGAGCTACAATAATTACTTGGATTTGATTTATTTTGTGTCACTCACATATTTTTACTTACAAATTATTAAGATGTCATCCACTATGATATGGTATGGTATGGTATGATATAATAAGTAGGGACAATGTCTGAAGTTTAGGGAATAACACCTCAGATAGCACACCATTCAAAAACATTAAAGTTATATTAGGGAAGTCATATACCAAGTAAACCATAGGAAGTCTTTTATTAACTATAGCAGATTAATCCCATTTTCCCCACACTGTAAATCTGTAATAGTTTCAGGCTGCTCATAAGAGTCCCTTTGTCTATGAAGGAGTGGGCTGAGTCATTCAGTCATCTGGCTCTTCCTAGCTCATTATTCCACAGAGAGATGACTTCTGTTGAAAACAGTCTACGGGCATTAGTGCACACCCACTTACCCCTTGGCTCTCCTCAGTGAACACACACAAGTTCTGGGATTCCCTCAAGAAAATATGGCATAAAGTCTCTTTTTCTGTTAAATGAACTTTTCTCCTTGGGAAAGTAGTCAAATGGGAAAACAGCTAAGAGTTACATATAGTCCACTGAGGATTATATTAATGTAGCATATAATCTGAGAAAGGAAGTGTGTGTGTGTGTGTGTGTGTGTGTGTGTAAATGTCTACATAAAAATAAGTTTTAAAAACTAGCCATGTGAGAAAATACTTTGATCATGTTAAAATATTCAAATGTGAGGAGGTCAGTCATAATTAAGCTAAAAAGCAGAGAAACAGACTAACTTCAGCTAGACTATAAAGGGATATCTCAGCAAACTAAATTCCTAAATACCTTCCTAGTGATATTCAGGAAGCTAGGAGAAATAATCATGAGAATTAGAAAAAAAAAAGTACATATATAGCAACAAGACTGAATTTGCTCTGGTAGTGACAACTGGGTTTAGATATCATAATCTCATTTTATTTGTGATAAATAACTCTTTTCAAGAGTCCTCCACCTTTTCCACAAGCCAAGTTGAGTAAACATGAGACACTTAATCATTCAAGTTGTTAGGGATGGACATGATTTCTGGGCCACTATCTGGGAAAGCACATAATCTTTCTGCTATCCAGGACAGCATATACTCTTTCCGCTATTAGGGAAAGCATATAACCTTTGATCTATTCGTCACTCAAGGGTCATCATTTTGCTGTTTGTGTTTTACTTGCACTATATGGCTTCCACTCAAGGACCGGAAGTCCTGTAGGTGTTGTGTAAATGCTCTGTGCCTTCTGACAACTAATCACCGAAGGGAAAGCATCAACAAGTTGCATGCGTATACCAACTAGCTCAACTCTGAGATGGACTTCATCAAATCAAGCACTTACCTCATGTCATCAACCAATATTCTCTCTAACCTGAGCTCTCAACGGTTTAGATCTCCAACAATGAAGTCAAAGCCATTATTCTGTTAACCCTGTCTAATTCAGCGGTTCTCAACCTTCCTAATGCTGCAATCCCTTAATACAGTTCCTTATGTTGTGGTGACCTCAGCAATAAAATCATTTTTGTTGCTACTTCATAACTGTAATTCTTCTACTGTTATGAGTCATAATATAAATATCTGTGTTTCCCTTGAAAGGGTCATTTGACCCTTGAAGGAATCTTGACCCACAGGTTGAGAACCTCTGGACTAACACAGAGCAGTTCCAAAATCTAACCACAGTTTTCTTTGAGAAAAGGTCATTAAATATTAATAGAACTTATGTGTCGGGACTCATCTTAAGATGACCATTCTAACCTGAATCCATGGGATTCCATGTCTCTGAAGGGGCACATGAGTACAATTGCTATGTTCTTAAAGCTGAGCAAGAGCCTATATCTAAGTTAGAGATTCAACTCAAACATGAGATTTTTTTTTTTTTTTTTTTTTTTTTTTTTTTTTTTGGTTTTTCGAGACAGGGTTTCTCTGTGGCTTTGGAGCCTGTCCTGGAACTAGCTCTGTAGACCAGGCTGGTCTCGAACTCACAGAGATCCGCCTGCCTCTGCCTCCCAAGTGCTGGGATTAAAGGCGTGCGCCACCACCGCCCGGCTTAGACATGAGATTTTAAAAGCCAGTTCACCCACCATGTTTTTAATACTAGAAAGAGAATGATTTCCAAAGCTCTGGAAAAAATTGGTTTGATCGCCACACACCGTTTTTTCTCTGCTTGAAATAGTCATTCTCATCTCTTCCTTAGCAGTACAAAGTACTTAAGCACGGCTTTAAGTACTACTTAGTCTCTGTCACGCCTGCCATCTCGACCAACACGTTTTAAACTAGAATTTTTAAATCAAATTTTATAAAGAAATTTATGCAAAAACCTCTAAAATTTTTTTCATGTGTTACCAAAATGACATATTAATCCTGATATTCTCACTGTAAGTGTTTAGATACTTTCTTTCATGCATATGTAAAAGCAATATATAAAATAATAAATAAATAAATGTATATATATATAAATTTGAAATTATTCAAACTTTTTTGGTTAGATTTGATGCAAACATTGTGTTTTAATTCTTTGGGTCTAATATCCTTAGAAAATTTCTCACAAATATCTCCAATATTTATGCCAATAAAAGCCAAGGATTTCTTTAATTGCAGAAATTGGTACCATTTTAGCATTCAACTTTCATATAAAACTGGCAGTGGTTCCGAATGGCATAAGTTACACCAGGCAAGCCAAAGGGGGAAACAGCTTTCACCCAAGGAAGAAGCGTTTCCACCCGAGAGCTGAGCTGCCTGAGAGCTGTGATGCCCCCTGCTTCTCTCAGAGGACTGTTAACACTCTTCATCCTCTAAGGAAATTAGTGTCTCAGCAGGACATGTGGCCTCTGCACCCACTGATGCTGGGAACACTGGGGCAGCTTCACCCATAAGCTAAGGCCTCAGATTCTTAGTCATCGACTCATGCATCCAGATCTCCAGATACCTTAGTGAAAGTTGAAAGGAAATAGTTCCTTCTGTCTCATTCCACTCTCTAAACAATCATCAATGGTATACTAGTATGACGTAAGAGTCAGCCACGGGCATTATTTGGTCCTAATGACTGTGACAGAAGGAGATACAAGAGAGGCAAGAGATGGCTAAGCTCACAAAGCAGGAATAATGCCCCAGCAGTATTTCTAATGCAGCTAATGTTGTCCATGAACTGATAAGAGTCTCTAGGATGGTTGCTTCCACATTGCTTTTCTTTACAGGATCATATGGGTTTTTGTTTGTTTATTGTTTGTCTTTAGATATGACCAGAGGAATGATATTTTTCTCTATAAGGCAATTAAGCAACTTTACTTGTAACTGGAGAGAGGAAGAAGGTGGGAAGGGAATGTATCCCCAACTCCAGGCAAACAAAACTCAGACAAAAAGTCCAGTGTGGCAGTGCACATCTGTAACTCAAGCGCTGGGATGGGAAGTGGGTCCTGCTGGTCAACCGGTCTAGCCAAGATGGCAAGTTCTATGCTCAATGAGAGTTCCAATGTCAACAAAGGAAGAAACTCAGTATCGACCTCTGGTCTCTACATATATGCACACACATCCAGGTAAGCATATCATAGTCATGCAATAGAACACATGCGTATCATCCCACTATATAATCCCAGTACAATAACAATAAGAAATAGGGTTTTGAAAAGAGGTAATGTTTTTTTCATTTGTTTCTCTTTGTCCCAAGGTTTGGGTTATCTTAGGGAAGTGGCATGGAATCTTGAGCCTACACAAGATATCAAGTTTTTTTTTCAAAGGAAAACTCTAAATTTGGTTAAAATCTATAAGCTATGGCTTTTAGACAGCACATACTCACTGCTATTGCCAATGAACAAAAAACTTTCTGATATTTCTCCTTCATAATCATTGTGTATCTTGTCCATTCCAAGTAATTTTAACCTGTAACTTGCTTTTTATCTTACAAAAGAAGTAGACATAATGACACATTTACTAGGCTCTGACTATTTTATGTTAAAACAATGGAAATAGAATTTAGGCAGTACATTTCTAATTACATCATGGCCATCATCTCCTAAATTTATAAGGTATGTAGTTTTGTCCGTGAACTCAGTTAATCAATATTTTGGGGAAAGTGGGAAACATAAGAAAGAGGACTGAATGAGTCAAAATTTGGGTGTGTTTAATGGTCACACCCATTCCTGTGAAAGTAGGTCAGTCTGAAACTGTTGCAAGAAAATTCAGACCACCCAGATATCTGTGTGAAATTTCATTGAGTTGAACATAGCAAGATGGTAAGGAAGAAGAGAGTATGGAAACTTAGTTACTGGGGGATCTTATGTTATCCGGAGAAAAGAAAATTTATTTTGAAAAACAATAACTGGTGATTTTGTAGCTTTTTTCACCTTTGCTATTTATTTTAGAATGGTAAAAATTTCGGTGCTAAGGGAGAAAACTTTCTGTATGTCCTACTTTCCTGTTTCATCCAAGTCTGGCTGATCCTCCTGCCTCTATCTCCCAAGGCCTGAAGTTTTCAGTGTGTGACACCAGGCCTGGTTTTATGTAGTGTTGGGGGTTGAAGCGAGGACTTTGTGTATATTAGACACATACTCAATTCTCTGAGCCCATCCTCAACCTGTTGTGTGACATTTTGTTTGTTTGTTTGATTTTAAATATTATGTAATAGTTTGGGTCTATTTCACAAGACGAGCATTTGTCTTGGCTTGAATTTAAGCTCTCATATATTCTAAAGTTTGAATAGAAAAATTGTTTTCTTGCCTTTAACTTCTTGAGTTTATAGCAGACTTGAATCTCTCATTCACTGAAGTTCATATTCAAAGTCAGGAAAAACAAGAATATTAAACTGTTACAACTGATGTAAATATTATCATGGAACCTCAGGAAAGAAATCTCGGAGATATAAGTCTAGTGACAGGATCCACGTGCACTGTTTTTGCTGATACCCCCGCCCCCTGTTCCTCTACCCACTAATATGCCTCCACACTAGAAGAGAGAAGAATGGCTTTAGTGAGAAAAGGGCATTGTGGCCAGTTAGTGCAGGATCAAGAGGAACAGCCCTGCCCTATCACAAGGAAACAAATGTGAGAAAAGATAAGAAAATTCAATGAGGAGAAGTCAGAAGAAACAAAGCAGTCTAAGCATAGACTAGCACTTAAGTAAACATACTTCTTAGGAGGAAGCAGGCACGGCTCTTGAGAGGTGATTAATCAAATGAGAGGCCATCTAGATTCCAGGTTTGTAAAGGACCATTTGTAGAGTAAACACGAAGCAGAAGCAACGCTGAGGATGAGTTTATTCTCTCTTCCCATCACTGCACTCTCTTTAGTGCTGACCAACACTATGGACACTGCCTTTGAAGATTACTCCGTGCACAAAAGTGTTACCCAGAACACTTGAACTGAATCTCAGAGACAGTTTCTCTGAATATTCACGCTACGCCACACAGCATGTGTGAAAGCTGGAGAGGCTCCTTTGCTCTCTGAGCCACATTCAGCCAAGAGCACACTGGCACCTGCTGCTGTCTCTCAGTCTGTGTGCAGATATCCCCTCCCACATCATCTTAGACCCTGCTCCAGAAGCCACCTTCATCAGGAATTTTTTATCACCTTGCATGAACGGCATCAAGGCGAATGAAACCAAATACCTTCTTAGCCAAGCTGTCTTTGTACTTCCTTAGTTCTTCATACATTTCTATCTGGACTTTACCTATAAGAAGATCATTGTTGTGCTCAGCTATGTTCATAGCAGAATTGTTTTTAATAGCCAGCACCTGGAACAACCTAGATGCCCCTCAACTGAAGAAAGGATAAAGAAAATGTGGTACATTTACACAATGGCGTACTACACAGTGGTAAAAAATAATGACATTTTGAAATTAGCAGGCAAATGGATGAATATAGGAAAAAACGTATTGAGTGATCCAGAAAGACAAATATAATATGTACTTACTCATAAATGGCTTTTAGACATAAAGCAAAGAAAAAACAGCCTACAGTCCACAACCCCAGAGCCCCTAGACAACAAAGAGGACCCTAAGAGTGACATACATGGATCTACATAGGAAGGAGAGAAAGACAAGACCTCTTGAGTAAATTTGGAACATGGAGGGTGGTCACAGAAGAGGGTAGAAGGGGAGAGGTGAGGAAGGGAGGGGATTGGAGAAAAATGTATAGCTCAATAAAAACAATAAAAGAAAGAAATGAAAAAATCATTTTCACACAAATCACCAATGACTGCCGGGCTTCAAATGGCTGTATCCACATTTGCTCTCCATGCCTGCTCATTTCTCCATGCATCTTCCGTGGCTGTATCCACATTTGATCCCCTTGGTCTATTCACTTCTTTGTGCGTCCACAATCCCTTGATTTTTTTTTTATTTTTTCATTTTGTTGCTGTTGTTTTGTTCCATGATACACCTCTGGATTTATTTTCCCTGCCCAAGAATTCCTTGGAGACTCATGATTGTTTTCTCAGTCTTTTACCCATCTCTGTTACTTTTTATTCTCCCTAACTTTAACTAAAACCTGTATCCTCTGTTAGTGTCTCTCCAGGTGAGAAACCATGGTGTTTCTCTCATTGTGATATACTTTAGACAGCACTGTCTCTTCTGACTAGGTCGTGCTAAACTAGAAGGAACCATAATTCCCACAAAACAGAAAAAGGTTCACGGGTCATCACTGCCAGATCTCAGATACCATACACGGAGGAGTGGGGTCCTGTAGAAACGAAGGCCAACCAACTCAAGGCTCCTGAGTACGTAGAAGCAATGAAAAAGTCTGAGGTAGATGGTCTAGGTCTGAGGAACATCTCAGTATCTATGTGAATAATAATTGACTTTGATAACTTTGTTACATTTAGCCTCAATTCTCGCACTAGAAAAATATACCAACTCCAATTAATTCTCTTTTAACTGATAGTATGTATTATATATAGTCATTCTGAATTAATACCTACATAGGAAAACGTATATTAATAAAATGATGTATAATATTGCAGCATAGTTCTTGCATAGTGTTTAAGGCAAAATACCTTGAAGGTTGTTTGTTTTCCAGTGCCAGGAACCAAGCCTGCTTAGAGGGATGCTTTACAGGAGCATCTTATCCCTGAGCTGCATTGCTAGCCTCAAAATAGAAGTTGTTAGCTCAGATGCAGCCATTAGTACTCTTTCTAAGCTTGCTTTTCCTAAATGGAAAAAAAAATAAGATTTATTTTTATTTGTGTTATATGTGAATGGGTGTTTTGCCTATGTACTATGTGTGTGTAGTGTTCTCAGAGACCAGAATAAGAAATCAGATTCTCTTGGAACTGAAATTACAGACGGTTTTGAGTAGCTGTCCGAGTCCTAGGGTCTAACCCAGGTCCTCTAGATGCCGGAGACTATAATCTCCAGGCCCCACTGATGTAATTTTAATCCACATTTCTATACTGATGGTCAAGTTTCTGCCCCAGCATATTCCAAAAAAAAAAAAAAATGGCTGTAGGATTTAAGAGCATCTAACCTTAAGAAAGAACCATCATCTGTGCAGTGCATCTTTGTGGGGAAGCAACTGAATGGCCCTCAGGCTATGGGAGTGGGGTGGGAAGGTCTTTATTAACTGAAGCTGCTAAGACAATGAAAGCATAAGTTGCCAAAAACAACGAGAAAGAGGTAAATAATGGAATAAGAAAGTTGGGTCATCTAAGAGAGACATACACAGATCTAAATAGGAAGGAGAAAAAGGCAAGCATGAAAATTGGAAGCATGGGGGTCAAGGGAGAGGGTATAGAGGAAGAGAAGAGGAAGGAAGGGGTATAGAAAAAATGTATCGTGCAATAAAAACAATAAGAAAAAGAAAGCTGAATCATAACAAAAATGTTTGGAAATGTAAAATTGTGTTTTAACTAATCTAAAAATTTATGAGTTCAAAAGTCTATGCGTAACTTTCTTTGAAACAACAAACTCTTTTGTGTCTATTTTTCATAGACAATTTATATTCATATTTCCTGTAAGACTTTTTTCTCCCTAACTACCTCAAACTGAGCTTCTTCTAATGTGTCCACCATCATCTCCTAACAGAAAGGTAAAGGGCTTGTCTGTCACTGTCTGTTTACTCTTGGCATCAGTCCACAGTGATGCATGCTAGTGTTTTATTTGTATAATATTGAGTGAAATCCTAAGCTTTCTAAGAAACTGTAATATGGATTTCCACAAAATATGCTACCCATTGTCACTACATAACATTGTTCTGATGTGGGATTCCCCACTGTATGCTGTGGATACCATTGGTTAATAAAAAAACTGTCTTAGGCCTGTGATAGGGTAGAGTAGAGCTAGGCAGAGAAAACTAAACTGAATGCTGGGAGAAAGGAGGCAGAGTCAGGGAGAAGCCATGGAGCTGCTGCTGGAGACAGACGAGCCTCATGGTAAAATATAAAATAATGGAGATGGATTAAATTAAGATGTAAGAGTTAGCCAATAAGAATCTAGAGCTAATGGGCCAAGCAGTGATTTAATTAATATAGTTTCTATGTGGTTTTTCTGGGAGTCTGGGAGGCAAGGGAACAAGCATCCTCTAGCACGTTTCTTTAATTCAAAGAAGGAAGATGATAAAAGCAACTCACTACCATAGTTTCCTTTTCCAAAGCACCATGGAAGTCTGCACACCTGACCCTGATTGTATAAAGCACAAAGAAGGTACAGTCTGTTTTCTCTTTTCACTTGAGAAAAGAATTGAAATTCTTGATAAATTCAGGGAAAGCAAAACTCTGAAGACAGTTGAGCAGTAAGAATGCTGCTTTAAGGCTCTGGGAAAGCAGAGCTCAGTATGCACGACCAATGTTCTTTGGAAAGCTTTGCAGTCCTCACACTGGAATGAATAAAATTTCCAATTACAAATTGGCCTGATGTATCTTCCACCAGATTGAATCTTTCCTCTAATCTCTGTATACAGACTCAGATAGACATAATAAAATAATCAGAGATGCACATGTACTGTTTATATGCCTGATAATAAGGGAACACATGGTTCTTATATTGAATGCTAATTCTGTTGTATACATCTGTGATCGCCTGTTCCACAATACGACTGGGTGGGCCCAGCCAATGATACACTAGACTGTAATCATGTTATCTGGATGCCTGCGTTCACTGGGCCAGTGTTTTCCTTTTCCCACGAGAACCTTCTGTCCTCATAAAGCACCCGATAACTCATCTCTCCTGACTGAAAAGCAAGTCATCTAGAATGCAGGATTCAAGAAGATGGGGATCCAAAGCTTGCATCTCCCACAAATCAATCTCCCATGCTGTGCCCTGGAGCCTGCTCCGTGGCTCTTTGGCCATTTTGTTCTCCATGAATTACTGATATCCCCATAAATCTTTCTGAGGCATCATGCCTGAACATCCTAAAATGGACAGGGCAACCTCAGTGTCTAAAAGGAGTGTCTCCCCAACACAGTGTGTACCACCAGGCCCAACACAGTATAGATGCTCTGCCACAATGAGTTCCTCTTCCAGTTCCAGGATGCCAGGCTGGGCAAATGACTCGTTCCTTTCTTATTTACAGGCTTTCTCTATCTCAGGGAAAGCTGCTTCAAGCTTTTCTATGCTTTTAAAAGTTTCCTCTCCTTCTAAGCCTCTCCCTTTGGAAGTTCATTTCTACAGCATACAGGGTTCATTCTTACTCATTATCCGTGTAGCTTACAGATAAATCTATAAGGCAGAAGCCTGAGTCGTGCTATCTATATATTATTAGTATATCAATCCCTCAACCACTGCTCAAGGCAAATGCTCCCAACAAGTATTTGAGTATTTGTATATAAGAGAAATAGGGTAAATGGAGAATTTTATTTTTGTTTTCTCTAAGGGAAGAAATACTGTTTTGTCTCACGCATGGCAACTGTCAGCTGTACAGGTTAGGAATAATTCTGCATGTGGGTTAACTTCTGAAGCAAGATGTTTTGACAGTGATAGAAACCTCATTGAAAAAATAAATCTGTAAAACCAATAATGACCAGAAAACTAAAATTGCCAAACCTTCATAATGGTTTAAACATAGATGAGAGTAAAATAATTATAGGTAAAAGAGAAAAATTGGTATTCTAGTTTTACCATGAATTCAGAAGTTACTATTTCACATATATAGCTTGTTTGCAATGATATCTTACCAGCCATGTATTTTACAGTTGACACAATAATTATAGGCAAAATTTCAGATCCAACCATGTGGCTTTTAAATTTGCAGAAACTAAAGCAATGCGATCACCGGCAGTCAGTATGGTAGTTAGAAGGACTTGGAATTCTGTCTGTAACAGACAATATTCCAACCAAGGAACAGATGAAAGATATCAAAATGTCTGCCAGTGAATGCTTTAGTGATTTCAAATGTCCACGTAGATGGTAATCCTCAGAACACACTGGGATAACATAAATTTTGTACAAAATGTAAGATGGCGTGTCAAACACTACACCACGCTTAGTCACATGGTGACAGTAGTGGGCAGGAAAATGCAGGAGCTGGATAGGTGTTTGATGAAGCATGCCTTGATTAGCACAGATGGAAACATAATAAAGTGGAAAGATCACAGGCAAGCTACTATCACAATTGGGCTGTTGAGGTGACATTTTCTTCTTTGAAAAGTGTATTTGTCACTCAGCGGGATAATAATTTTTATTATTTAAATATATTAGTTTCATTCAATATGCTTTAATCATAGTATTTCCTTTTTCAACTCCTCTGAGATCCCTACTCACCTCCCTACCCACCGAACATCATGTTATTTTTCTGTCTCTTAAAAAAAAACAACAAAAAACCCCAAACCAAAACAAAAACCAAATGCAAAAAAAATCAAATCAAACAAGTAAAAATCAGTAAGACAAAAAATACAAACCAAATGAAAAGTACACACTCAAAACCATGGGGTCTATTTATTGTTGGTTGGTTACTCCTGGACATGGCATCTGCTCTGGAGGGAGCTTGAGATGCCCAGTGCCACTCCATTGGAGAAAGCTGACCTTCTCTTTCCCAGCAGAAAATATCAAACTGAAAATAGCTTCTTGGTTAGGAATAAGACTTTGTATTCTCTTTGCCTTCTCACTGCTAAGATTCTGTCTGGTTTGAACCTGTTTGGGTCTTGTGCATATTGTCACAGTCACTGTGAGTTCATATGTGTGTGGTATGTGTGCCTGCTTTGTTTCCATCTAGTAAACCACCATCTCTGGCTCTTACAATCCCCCCCCCCCCTTTCTACACATATCTCTTAATCCTGAGGAAGGATGTTTGATAGAAGCGTCCCATTTAAAACCGAAAGCTCTAGCATCTCACTTTCTCAATATTGTCTACTTGTGGGCTCTGTGCTAATTCTCATTTACTGCAAAAAGAAATTCTCTCTGATGAGGGTTGAGTGATGTGCTGATTTATGGGTCTATTAATATGTCAACAGCATTTATTTTAAAGCTATATTCTGTTATCAGAACCAGTAGCAGCCTTCCTCTGGGACCTACGACCCAAACTCTCTCGTAGTCTCAGGTTCAGAGTCAGGTATGGTTTCCCTCTCATGGGGTGGACCTTAAATCCAAGCTAAACACAGTGGGCTACTCCTTCAACATTCCTGCCACTTTTGCAGCAATATATCTTATAGGCAGGTCACTGTTGTAGGTCACAGGGTTTGCAGATGGTTGATATGATGATTGTCCTTTTCTTCCTCTAGCAGGCAAAGTACCTTCTATCAGCACGCATGGGATTCAGTTGGAGTGAAGCTTCTTGTTGGGCACCAGCTCAATTTCTTCATTTTTTGAAGGTAAAGGCATAAATTTAAAGCATCAAGTAAAACTAAAAATTGGTGAAAATGTAATAATTGGCATCACAGTAAGAGAGACAGAACTATTGGGCTGAGAGAATACATGTTACCTAGATTACAGTTTTAGGTGAGCCAGTCTAGGTGAAAGACCCCAGCTTAGCGACTGTAATGCCATTTTGCAAAGCCTTCACACAAACAAATGTAAGTTCAAGGTAAAGTCAGTACTCCTAGGCGGTCAAACAGGATATCTATGGTCAGACACCAGGCCTAGGAGGGGAACGAACAGTTCTGGGAAAAACTACATGTACCCTAGATAGGGCCGAGTCTGTTATTATTATCAGACCTTCATGTCCAGGGAACTTGTCCCCTAAATGAACCCATCGCCTCACTCGAACTGACCAATGAGATCCCTGTAACCATGCATTGCTTCTGTATGCCTGCTTTTGCTAACCTTTTCCTATAAAAAGACCTTCTTCCAGCCTGCAGGTGGGCAAGTCCTCCGAAAGGACTTTGCCACCCACAGGTACCTGTGCCCACCCAAAAAACCTCTTGCTAATTGCAGCCAGTGGTGTCGACTGTTCCTTGGGTTAGGGGTCTCCTCCTGAGGGAAGGACCACTCTGAGGGTCTTTCATAGGCTGTACCCAGCAGTTCTGGGTTAGCCAGTCTACACTATACCCAGCAGAGCCGGACTACTGTTCTGCCAAGGTTTCCTTAGTTCTGCTCTCTGATAAACCTCGGCTTAGCCTCCATTCAAACACCTTATACTGAAGCATCTCCTTGCAGCAGATGGTAACTTACACAGAGACCCACAACTAGGCAATGTGCAGAGAATGAGAGATTTTGGAACTCAGTTCTAAATGGGATGCCTTCATCAAAACCCTCTCCTTAAGATTCAGGGATCTACATGGAAGAAGAGAGAACTGAAGAGCCGGAGATGGTGGATGGCTACAAAGAAATAGCATTGTCTTGACATACATGACTGATACGTATATGAACATAGGGACTGTGATAGCATGTACACAACTTCACATGTTCTAACAGGCAAAATCACAGCACTGAGTAGACGGGATCCCATCTCTAGCCAAGAAGTTATTTGTAACTGATGCCTACTGGGAAAGGCAGAATCAGTTTTCTCCAGGAGTGTTACTGGTATATCAACCATACTCGAGTGCAGATTTGTGCCCAGGATGTAAAATAGACTTCATGGTTTTGTGTGCTTTTTGTTTTCCCTCTGTTGGATTTTGTCTGTTTGTCTGTTTTGATTCTGATATTTCAATTTTTTTTTTTTTACCCGAGAGAACATGAAGTTAACTGAATGTGGAGGTGAGAGGATCTGGGAAGAGTTGTGAGAGGGGAAAATATGATCAAAACATATTGTATAAAAATTTAAATAATAAAAGTACATTGATTAAAAACTCATACAAATAAACAAACAAAACATCTTATGTTTGGTGGCAATCATTTGAAATCTTCCGTGCCTGTCAGGCAAAGATAGGTGGAGCTGAGCAGAGCCCCTTGGCTCCCTGGACAGCCTGTCTGTCCTAGTCAGAAGTTCCAGGCCAGTGACAGATTTTTGTCTCAAAGAACAATATTTATTGTGTGCAAAGATGGATCACACCTGAGATTTTCTTCTGGACTGCACACACACACACACACACACACACACACAGAGAGAGAGAGAGAGAGAGAGAGAGAGAGAGAGAGAGAGAGAGAGGCGGCATGCACGCACCCCGACTCCTCGCAAAAACAAAAGAAAAAAATCAGATGAAGGGATAATCAGACTGTGGTCCATTGAGGCAAAGGAATATTACTCAGTAATATCAAAGCTTGTGCTAGCAAGCCACTAAAATATGGATGAACCTTGTCATTTGCTAAATGAAAGAAGCCACTATGATTAGGCAATAGACACTATGAATCTATATGTGAACCTCAGGAAAAGGCAGAACTACAGACCAGAAAGATCATAGGCAGTGGTTAGGTAGGAGAGGGGAGGGTAAGGTAGAACATACAGGGCATTTAGGACAATGAAACTAGTCTATAAATTACTGTAATGGTAACTACGGGGCATAACACAATTTTCAAAAAAAACCATAAAGCCATACAAGAGTAGACCCTAATAAAATTAATTAACTTTAGTTAATTCAATGTGTCAGTACTGGGCCATTAATTTCAAGCAACGTGACTCACTGTTAGCAATCAGGGAACTTGCAATCTGGGGAGAAAGGCAATACATGCAAACTCTGTATGATTCACTTAATTTCCTGCAACTCAAAACTAATCAAAGAATTTGTTAGCTAAAAAATGTTAATTAATGCAGTAATAACAGTTGTAACCAGGACCACTGAAAACTTATTATCTATAAGTAGTTCTCAATATAGAACAGGCCATGTTTAAAAAAACTGTATTTCAGTCTTAGCCGTGTGAATGGTTGCACGAAAGTCATTTTTGTAAGCAACAACCAAGGCTATTTTTGTAAGGAACAGAACAAAGAGAAATCTGTGACTCATTTAATAAGATATAAGCGACTATGTCAAAATGAACTCTGTCAGAAAGGCGCTGTATGCACAATGAGACAATTATACTAAAAGTCTGCGAATAGAGTGATTGCCAATCTGAAGGTATTGTTCAAAAGGTGCACCTGTTTGGAGACCCTGCGAATGGGCTGTCATTGTGCCGTGCTCCGGAGTTGACTGCAGTTGCACTGTGTGAGCTGATGACTGAAGTCTGAGGTCTGTTGCTGTCTCCTTATCTCTAATCCAAACCCTTGGGAAATCATATCAGAAAGGAAAACTTAGTCAAAAAGTTCACTAATTACTCCTTTCCTCAGAGGTAATAAGCAATAAAAGCTGTAATGATTAAATCCAGAGCATCTTTGTTTCCTATTTCTTTGAGGAGAAGAACTGAATTAAGGGAAATCGAAGAGCACACTATGAACTCATAACTCAAGAGAAATACATTAATTAGCTGCAACAGGAAAGCATGAGTTACACACTTTGAAAAGTGATATAACGCATATACAATTTCATTCTGGGACCGTGATTCATTCTCACTGTCCCTTCCATGGACGTAGTTAATGGGAACAATGGCTATTCAAGCACAGGTGGCAGCTATGTATGCTACGGCTGGTCCTTTGGGATCCTGGAATATGATTCAGGAGGGGGTGTGGTCACCTTGGGAGCAGAGCTGTGTGGGGGTGTGCTTCCTGCTCGGGTGTGTGGTCATGTGCTGACTTGTCCTAGTGAGTTTGTTTAGTGTAAAAGTTTCATGTCATCGTTGTGAGAATAACGGTCTCTCAGCGAGGTCCACTTTCTTGTCTCTGCACAGACATGGCAATAGAAAATTAAGGTTGTAGGTGACATTGTCCTGCTGATTATGTATCCTTGACATGAGGAGATTATTCTAGAGCACTCGGTCAGAGTTTATGAAGGCATGGATCCTTTAATATCAGAAAAGGAAGCAGAGTCAATGGAAAAATGACACAATGTAAAAAAGCTCAGATGCCACTGTTAGATTTCAAGACAGAAAGAGTCACAGTCCAAACCATGTGAACGGCTTCCAGCACTTGGAAAGGCGTGGTCAAATTCTCGCTAAGAAGTACCAGCACAATTCATGTGAACAACTTCCAGCACTTGGAAAGGCATGGAGAAATTCCCCCTAAGAACTACCAGGACAAATTCAGCAGCCCTGATTCCTTAATTCTAACCAGTGAGACTCGATCAGACTTCTGACCCCTTGGGTGGCAAGATAAGCCTATGCAGCTTTAACCTACTGATGTGGTGAACTGTGACAGAAACAATAGGAGGCCAGCAGCATTTCCTTTATCTCTATAATAAATACCTCCTTTAGAATATCTTTTATTCCATGTACATGGCACCAAGAATAAAATCTTAGGGGACAGAAGAGACCTTGTAGTGGGTAAAAGGGCTTGCTACAGAAGCTTGAGAACCTGAGTTGGGAATTTCAGTACCCATGTAAAATCTAGGCATAGCTACCTTTTCTTTTTACCCCCATGCTAGGCTGGGGCAGAGACTAAAGTATTTCAGGAACTTGCTGGCCAAGAAGTCTAGTACAAGCAATGGGCTCCATTGCTTAATAAAAAATCTTGTCTCAAAACATAAAGTTGAGAGCAATACAGGAAGAAACCTGATGTTGATCTTTGGTCTTCACATACACTTGCACACCCATGCATACCCTTGCGCATGTTTACACACACACACACAAAACACACATACAGATACGCACATACACTTTGGTCTTCACATACACCTGCACATTCTTGCATATGTCTACACACACACAAACACACTTTGGTCTTCACATGCACCTGCACACCCATACACATGTCTATACACACATACACATGCACATACACAAACACATTTTGGTCTTCACATGCACCTGCACACCCATACACATGTCTATACACACATACACATGCACATACACACACGCACACTTTGGTTTTCACATACATCTTTACACCCATGCACATGTCTACACACACACACACACACACACAATTTGGTCTTCACATATACCTACAAACCCATGCACATGTTCACACACACACACACACACACACACACACACACACACAATCTACTTAACTCTGTTCTATACCACGTTCCATGTTTAGTTATACAAAGCACTGAAGTACATTTTATCATACAGGACAATAGGTCTGTTGTCTGTTGTGGTGTTTTATCACAGATAATGGAATGGAGAATAAAGAAAAGACTCATATTGTTTTACAATAAAACCATCAGCCCAAGATGTGCCACACTTCACAGACACGAATCAGCTGTATTCGCTTCTAAGTCAACCATGATAAATGACTATCGTCTTGGCAGCTTAATATTGCAGAAGTTTTTGTCTTTTATAGTTCTGAAAATCAGAAATCCAAAATGAATGTGTTGGTAGGATTGCATTCCCTTTGCAAGCCCCTGCAGAGAATCCTTCCCCACTAGGGAGTTCCAAATGTTCTTGGCTTGAGGCTGCGAATTCCAGTCTCTGTGTTCACACGACTTCTGTGCGTACTGTGCCCTTCTCACGTCTTATAAATCACTTGCCTTGGCTTTAACGCCCACGATAGTACATGAAATATCATCTTGAGATTCTTCTGAATAAAATCCAAGTAGGCATTTCTGCAGTAAGACCACCATTCAATCTACTGCACCGCTTTACAATCTAAATACTATAAATCTGTAGGGTTTCATTCTACAGAAACAGAGAAAGTCTACCATCATTAATACAGTCTTTAGTTTTCATAAACTATTGGCTTGCACAAATGATAAATGAAGACAATAATTCATTTAGTGAGAATTTAGAATAGCTGACTTTCATAGGCTGTTGAATGAATTGTTAATTCATAAAAACCAATAGCAAGACACTTTCAGATATACATATTATATAAAAGAGCAACTCTATCCTAGGCCTGTAACTAAGAAAAACACTCAGGAAACAGTGTTCATACACAAGAATTCTCTCTTGTCCACCAAGTAAGTATTTGTACCAGAAACATTAACACATGAGCACTACATGAAGTTAAACACGTATACATGCTCAAAAAAATCTCATTTAGACCTTGAAACACAGCCATAATTAAGTAGCAAAATTATTAAAACCTTACTTCAAGAGAAAAAGTGTGCTTTCTGATTATGGAGCTATACACAGGTAATGTTCACAATGTTGCCAATACTTTAGAGGCTTGGGTGTGGTAACAGGTATCTCCTTTATATGCAGTCATTAAAACAGTTATATACATAAAGCACATTCATAGAATACTTGTGAAGATATATGCATAACATAAACACATAGTCTGTAATTCTTTATGAATTTTTAATTTTTTGGTGAAATCTTAATCTTACAATTACTGTAATAATGAATCAAATAAATTGAAAAGGAGAT